TGACCACAAACACGTCCTGCGGGAGGACGACGAGGTGGAAGAGGAGGAGGAGGAGGAGGAGGAGGAAGAGGACCTGACCGATTGACCGCGCTCCTCTCCTCCTGCCCAGACTCTATTCAGCAGGTTTTATATTCATATTGTAGCCAAAAAGCAAATAAAAGCCGGTAATTATCACCTACAGTGTGATTTACAGTCAGGATGTTTAATGATTTACTGGCTAAAAACAAAAAGATGATTTAATAGAAAATCGTTTTGAAATTAAAAACCAACTACCTAAAAATGCAACTTTTTCCAGATGAAACTAAACTTACGTCACCTACAGAAAGAGAAGAACGGCATGACTACAGTTTATTTTTAATACTTTTTTGATCGTTTTTAAATCAGGCTTTTGCAAATGTTGTTGATGAAAAGGTCTGACTGTCTCTGAATTCATCCTTAGATTTCATGTTTTTGTGTTTTTTATGTATTTTGTACAAAGTGTTTTAACTCATCTGATGGAACCAGTGTCAAAACTTTATTTTGAAGGTTTTTGCAGCTATTTTTGATAAAACTGAAGGACACCAAACATGAACCGTCTTCATACGTTCTTCTAAATAAACGGTTTCAGGATGAAACAGAATAGTTTTGGGTTTTTCTGTCGCTGGCGGCACTCAGAGCTGTAACAACCTGCAGCAGTTGTAGATCCAGTCACACGAGGGCGCTGTTGTCAAAGAAATTACCAACCCTGTTACCTGCATCCCACTTTGAAAAGTTACACACAGTTATTTAACTTTCATTTATAAATGTCATCTAGCTTGAAGGTAAAGCTACAGGAAAGTTCACTGAAAAAAATAAATATTCCCAAGAATTTTTGTTTAATTTCTACTGTAAGTATCTGAGTGCATTTAAAATTAGACAAAAGTAACTTACAAGTAGCTTTTCAGCAAGAAAAGGAGTTTGTTTAAATTCAATAACTCCGTAATATTGATGAAAAAGTTCTAATTCCACTTAGAACATGAGGAAAATGTTTTGTTATAAATAAACTGTCAGTGGAACCAGAACTGGGTTGCTAGGCGACGGGCTGGGCTTGGCTGGGGTTGCTAGGCAACGGTGCCAGTTGATCTAGAACTTTTTCAGCAATACTAAGGATTATTGACTCTAAAGAAGCTGCTGTCTTGCTGATAAGTTGCTTGTAAGTTAGTTTCGTCTTATTTAAAGTGAACTTAGATATTTACACTGAAATTAGAGGAAAAATACTTGGTAAGATTTTGTGTTTTTGAAGTGCAGCAGTTTCACCGACACACATCTGGTCTTGGTTCAGAGTGAAGAGGAAAGACTGAAGGTAAGTTTATCTGGAGCAGAGCATCTCAGCCTGACGACAAGGTGAGCTTTTCCTTTTCTGCAAAGTCTAATTATAATAATATGTGGATGTTTTAAAAGGTTTAGCTGTGCTGGACTCTGGCCTTCAGCGTTTCCATGACGATGAGACGATGGCGGCTCTGACTCCTCCAGGAAACTGAAACATTATGAAGGTTTGATTTCTGATTCAATCCAGGGAGTTTTCACATAGATTCGGTTCAGTTTGGGACCAAAATGGCAACATTCGTTACGTTTCCAGCGGCTGCGGATAATTTCAATCTACAAATGAAAAACAAAACAATTGGATGGCTTTATTTGCTTGATTTTAGTTTTCTTTCCGTTTTCCAGTCATCGGTCCCGCAGTGCGGTTCTGCTGCATGTTTGCTCCAGGCTGCAGTTCTGTTGCGTTGTGGCCCAGAGTTCTGGTTCCTCTGGTGGTTCTGTTGTGGTCGGGTTCTGCCCTCAGAGACCCAAACCACCCCCCAGAGACGAACGGGGGAGGGGGGTACGTTGATGCTGAACGTAGCAGTGAAAATCTGGTCAATCAGTTAATTCAAGATGTAATGAAGGAATCGTTATGCTTCCTGTGAGGCTGCAGTTAAACTCAAACCGCTCTGAGACGGAGGAACCCGGCTCCTCTGAATCGGATTGATCTGGTTTTGTTTGTTCTTGTATTTGGTCTGCAGGATTCCTTTGGGTCCCGAATGAAGCCGTTTCTGTTTGGTGGGCAGCGATCGCAGAGTTTGCGGATCGCAGCAGAAAAATACAAAAAATCTCCAAAAGCGGCGCCTGTTTTTGGATTGCTGTGAATTTGGCTTAAAAAACAGTGATATTAAACATAAAACCCCGATATTAAGAGTCTAGATGTGAAGTGTTTGTTCTATTTTTATGGCGAAGAACCATTTCAGTCTCGTTTCTGGCCAGGCCACATCAGACGGCGTTTAAACAGAAACAGACTTCAGAACCGAACAGAAAGAAAGAGACGAACAGAACTTCCTCTTTGAGGTTGATCTGCTGCCCGTTCATATGGTTCTAATGAAGGAACTGAAATTAGATCAGAAGCACAAATACGATCACCTCGAGTGGAAAACTTCAAAAAAACCACAGCTGTGTCTGTGATGTGACTCACGGTCCACGATGCTGCTGATCCTTTTGCAGCATCAACAACTTCAAAATAAGATTTTAATGAGGCCAAATGTTTGTTTTTTGGCCATTTCTTGCCGTAACGCCATACGCTCATTTGTGAGGTCAGACACTGATGTTGGACGTGAAGCTTGACTCGGCTCTCATTCGTTCAAAGAATTATTATTCTTTAGCACCGGGACTTTTACTTGTTAATTTCAATTAATTAATAAATGATTTTAATGCGTCAGTTTTTTTAAAATCACAATTAATCGATTTATTTATTTCTAACATAAAAAAACGCAGAGCCTTGTGTTCACATGTTTCTGCTACGCCTCTAAATGAAGCGTTATCCGCTAACAGCAATGGACAACAGAGCCGCTTCTCCTGGTCTGCTGCGGGTTCATTCCTTCTTTTCAAACAATCTGATGCGATGCTGGAAAAGACTGTTGTTGTGCTAACAGGAGTTAGCCTTCCAGCAAAGCTAGTCAACCCTAAAATAGCATCTGCAGTACAGATGCTAATGCTAATGTCAGCATCCACAGCCCACATTTGTAAAGAATGAAGCGTTCAAAGAAATACGGATCACCCAATGAGACGAAATAAAGCTGCGGTAAATAACTTTAGTTAGAAAACAAAAGTTTTTTACATTTTAGTTAAAAATGTCACCATGTTGTGACAACTTAATATAAAGCAAACAAAATGTGAAAACATTTAGCTCCTCTGGTTACACCAATACAATCTGCAGCTTTAAACCAAAGTCCCAGAGATGGAGCCAAACATGAGTAAGAAAACCTGCAGAAGACCTCAGACTGACCGGATACAAATACAAACCAACAGCTTTATCTGTTTTCTATTGTTAATCATTTTTTTCTGCATAAATCTGTGATAATCTGAGAGAAACGACGTCTCGTTTGGTTTCCTGCGGCAGGTCTTCCCTTTCTTTCGACCTAAATCTGATAAAATGTAGGGAGCGTAGTTTCTGCCCTTTGAATCCGGATCAATCGGAGCGACCCGGTTGAGCAGCAGGGCTCTGTGCCGTCAGTAGGTGGTGCTGCTCATGCTGACGCGCCGCTCTATGAAAGGCCCCAAAGAGATCCAGCCTTGAGAAAAAAATGCCAGGAATGTTTGCGAAGCTTATGTCAATTTCACGAGCTCAGGAGAAGAAAGCGCTGCGACAATAAGGGGGGAAGGGGGTCACCCTGGTGAGAATAATGTCATTACATGTTCCCCATACATGCATGCTTTCCCTCAATGCCAGCCAGGATTTTTGCACAACAAGGGTTTGTATTAATGATGTGAACGGGAAAGAATTCCCTTTAAATCCCCGTAAAGGTGAGTTAAAGGGAAGCAGTTTTATTATTTCATAAATGAAACATGGAAGGTGTTTATGTTGGGAATGATGGGAACATTCAACAATCTGAGGGCAGGGTGTGAAGGTTGGAGAGGAATGGGAAGTGGGATTCTGTCAGTGATGTAAAAACTCCCAGGACCCTGGGAAACGGGTGGGGGAGGGGGGCTCGGGTTGGGTTTGTGCCAACACAGTCGCTGTGCCAGAACTCTGGGTGTTTCTGGGGGGCACGGATCTCACCGGCGGATCTGTGGGAAAATCAAAACCAGGTTTTACTGTCGCTCTCTGCAGATCAAATCTACCATCCGTGAAAAGGCTGGAAAAGACTCATGTAGCTAAAACGAAGGCCTTAAATTGACTTAAATTCAGTTTTAAACAGTAAGTTGGCCTTTAATATGTTATTGAGGAAAATGTTTGAGTCACACTCAGATATCTTTATTGCATTCTGTCACTCAACATGTTTGAAGCTACCACTAACTATCTGCTAGTACCGTTGCTAGCAGGTTAGCCAGATTTTTTGGCATTTATCATGGGTAAATGCAAAATTATCATCAGTTGGCTGGACAACATTTCTACATATCTATGGAGATGTAGGTCTTAAATTCCATCCAAAAGAATTTTTTAAAAAGCCTTAAAAAGTCTGAAATTTGAGACTTATGACTTAAGATGGTTCAGGCTACCGCTTACTAGCTGCTAATACTCTTTCTAGCTAACTAGCTTTCTTGTATCTATCATGGGTAAGTGCAAATTTATCAGCAGTTGGCTGATGATTGTAGTTCTGTGTAGATTTTGGTCTTAAATTTCGTTCATCATGGACTTAAAAAGTCTTAAGTTTGAATTATGACTTAAGATAGATGAGGCTACCGCTAACGTACTGCAATAATTTCAGTTATTTGTCATAAGAGAAACAAAATAAGGTTGTTTTCCTGTCGCTCTGCCACAGAAGAAGAAATGAGATGTTTGCAGATCTATGTGAAGAAACTCTACTGTCTGCAGATTAATAATTAGAAGCTGAAACGTTGCACAGCTGGCCTTCAAGGCAAACTGCCAGCTTCTCCTAAACCCCGAGGCGTTTTTCAACTGTTGGCTTCTTGGTATTTGTCCAGTAGGTGGTCACTATTATCATGTAAATATGGATCCTAAACCACAAAACTGCATTCTGCGACCGGCTAAGCACAATAAAAAAGATTTTCTCCCATGTGGAAATTACAGTGATGTTTTCGCTGAAGTAGTGGGGAGAAGCTCGATCCGTCATGGTTGGTGATGT